TAATAGTAGCACTACAAATTACAAGACCCGACGAACCTACTCATGTTTTGAACTTTCTAAAATTGGATGACTAAAATGCACGAAAATAATTTTTTGAGACGGATTGCAAAATATGAATAATGTAGGGACGAAAGAATAATTTTGAAAGAAGAATAAAATCAGAATTGATTTTGGAGTGAATGAAAACCGGAATATGGGGGCCTATTTATAGGAGTTGAAAGGTCGTGTTCAAAAGACAACAGCCGAAAATTTATGTCTTCAACAGAGACAAACTGTTTGAACAGGTAGTTTAACCGTCAACCGCCCTTCTAGAAGAATCCACGTGTCACGCACAAAAAAAAATCAGGAAAAAATAATATAAATTAAATATATTATTATATTAAATAATAATAAAATAATATAAATCAAATATTATTTTATCAAAAAAAATATATCAGCTTAGACCAAGTCCAAGTCAAGTCAAGTCAAGTTCAAGCCTGGCGATGTCAAAAAAGGTCGGCGGCTCGGGCGACCTAAGCTCGGCCAGGAAAAAGTCCGAGCCAAGTTGGCTCGTGGCTTGGTGGAATGGAGCTGAGCCCCATTTTGGGGCGGCGCTTGAGCCCGAGCTAACTCTGGCTCGTTACCAGCCCGTGTCACGGGCCGAGCCGAGATGTTTTTGTTTTTTTTAGTTTAGATGTTTTTTTTATATTAATATTTAATTATTATTTATAATACGTATAAATTACACAAATTTTAAATACATTATAAAAAATTATAGATTTGTGACGAATTCTTTTTTTTAAAAAAATACGAGCCGAACCGAACCTTATTTTTTCGGCCTAACTTTTGCTTGACTCGACTTGACACGAGCCCAAAAACGTTCAGACCTGTTTTGCTCGAGTCGAGCTAAGCCCGAGCTTTGAGTTTCGACTCGTGGCTCGACTCGTTGACATGGCTACCCAAGTCCAAGCCCACGACCCGTGGTAGTGTGGTGTCGAGCCTACCGATTGAACGAACGGCGTCGGCACGAGCATGTGGACCTTGGCCTAACCTATTAGCATGTAGGTTCTTTCCCCTTCAAAAACTATTAGTACCCCGTGGGCCCAAACTCAAGTCCTAACCTTGAGCAATATAAAGTTGTTTATATTCTTCTGACTTTCCATGTGGAATTGACACTTTTCCAATTTTTCGCCAATTTTTATTACAATTTATTTTAACTTCAAATAGTCGTCTTTTGGCCTTAATTTCTCATTCACTCTAAATTGATTTTAAGAAAATAAATATATTATATTAATCTACTCATGGAGTACAGCACACTCGGTCAAAGAATTATTTTGTCCAACCCACAGGACCCACTAAAATAATTAGTCAAATGTTGGTCAAACCAACTAATAAAACCAAAATTTTTTTTTTCAATAGTGGTGTTGTTGGTGTGTGGCAGTAACGATGACGGTGGTGGTGATGTTGGGTAGTGCTAGTGATGTGTGGTGATGTTGGTTGTTGTCCCGGCGACGTCGATTGTTGTGGAGGTGGCATGGGGTGTGTGACCAATTATTTTGGTTGATTGTGACCAATAAATTGATTAATTTGAAACCAGTAAATAATGTGACTTAAAAAATATAATCTTGACTCACAATTTATTAAGTTGTGATCGAGAAATAATTTGTGACCAATTAATTTGATAATTTGTGACAGTCAAATAAGTTGTAACCTGTAAAATTTTTGATTTGTGACCGACAAATAAATTGTGACTTGTAAATTTTTATTTTTATTTTTGAACTACGAAATTTATAATTTGTGATTGTGAAATAATTTGCGACCTATAACTTTTTTTATTCTTGATCGAAAAATTAATTTGTGACCAATTAATTCAATAATTTGTGATCAAGTAGTATAGAATTTTGACTTTAATATATTTAATTAATAAAACATATATTTAATTTATTATTTCATAAATAAAATTTATAAATATCTGATTTTTTAAGTTTTAAACCTTCTTTCTTAGTTTTGAAATGTACCATACCCAATCTCTTAAATATGAAATTTTCTTTTTAATCAACTTCATATTATATTATGAATCTTGCTATATGTACAAGATTTACATAATACTACATGACACTGTACAATTTACCAGTTGAAAACAGTAAAACACAATCAACTTTTTCTTCTAATATTTTCTCTTCATATCATATTATATGATCGATCATGTACATCTTTTATGTACAAGTAGCAAAATCTTTATAAGGGAAAAAATCATATTTAAGGTGTATTCTTTACCTCAATTCAAAAATAAGGTAAATAGTTTAAAAATTCAAAAATCAGGTATTTATTTAATTAATTAAAAATATTTATTAAATAAAGATAAAAAAGTCACATTTTGTGATTAATGGTCACATATTCATAATTTTAAGTTACAGATTTATTTACTGGTCACATATCGTCAAATTTTTTGATC